AATCGACTCAGCCGTCTCAGCGAGCGAACGACTGACACCAATGGGAAACACGGATAAACGATTCGCGACGACGGCGACAACGACAACGCAACGGCAACGGTGGCGGCAGTGGCAGCGGCACAGCGAAAAAACAAATATCACGTACTCGACAACGGAGCCGCTCTCTTCCTCTATCACTGTTATTTTCTACCCTCCTCCGCGCACGCACACGGCTTTATGGGATTTAACACGGACGATTCGACGACGCACGCAGGCGTATCGGTACCAACGACTGCCGACAGAGGGCCGCCATTCCCAACGGATCTCGCGAGTCCCTCGAGACGGGGCTGACGTAATTCTATTTAAATTAAACATCCGTTGAGCATACGTCATGTTTCGCCGTCTACGTGAAGTTATGGGAATTTTAATGTTTTTCAGTAGCGCCTGTTTTGAACGTAGCTGCCTTGTTGCTTGAGCCGAGTAGCGACATCTGCTAACCGATCGTTCGCGGAGTGAATTCAGGAGGAGGTAGAATTGATTTGTGGAATGGATTGTTTGGTTATTTGCAACTTTATCGATTGAGTTAACCGGCAGTTTCATTAGTAGTTGAATAATTAATGAAATTGGGTAGGAAATGGAGATGAATAAATTAGATTTTTGTTTAGTGGAAATTGAGACAAAAGAGTTGATTGGATAATACAGGAATTGATGTGAAATTAAATGGACAAGGAAACAGCGTTTTGAATTTTTCTTTCTTTACTATGATCGGTACTACTTTGTCGTTAATAATTTATTGAGGAAAGAGGAAAATTCTAAGCATATGTTGTGCCTATTTCCTTTTAAGTATTACAGAGGAATTTTAACTTAATTATTAAGTTGATTAGAGAGAAGTAATATTTTGGATTCGAATGAAATGAGTAGTATATTTGTTGAATCGTGATATTGTTTAAGAAGCGACAGTACTGACGAATGATAGGACTCGTCGCTTAAAATTCGATGATGTTATTATCAGCAGTTGGTACGATCTTCTAGCCAATGAGTCGGTAATTTCTACTTGCGAAGTCGATTTCTATTTGTTATTAAAAATTAACCAACTTGACATTTTAAAATATACCAAGTTGCGAACAAATGATTTAACTACTGAAACAGCAAGAAATCAGTACACAGCTCCCTTACTCTTTATGATTTAGTCATTCAACATCTAATTTGTTAGAATCTGCAGTTTCGTATACTTTAAAAAATATTTACGTAATAACATCAATATAAGATAGGCCTGTTTGAAAGGGAACAAGGAAATCACGACAGTAGATACATTTGAATTTTCTCCACTTAACTCTTATTTGTCGTTCCAGTTAACTAGGAATATATTTGAAATTCTAATCGAACTAAGGAATCATTAATTCCGTGGTACGCAAATTAACCCTCTGTGGACCGAATTTGATTATAACAAAATTGATGCAGTACGACATTAATAAATATCAACGTATGAACAGAAATTATCAGTGTATTCAATAGTTTTTATAATTTTATTCAAACGAATGTATCTTGTAGTTGATCAATTATTTAACACTTTGACTGGCAAGTAAGCACTCATCAAAACTCCCATGTACTCGAAACAGTTTTCTCTATTAATCAGAAACTGAGAAATCAAGATTCTTCTTAATGATTGCTCCACTATCATTCTTATATCTCATATATCCAACAAAATTCGGTTCGTTCGATACGTCATGAAAGAAATTAATGTCCACGTTTCTGTAAAAAGTAATGTCACCCGAATTCGGGTGACGTGGCAGCCGAAGTGTTAACGGCATTCATCAGTTTTCAATGAAAAATTAAATAAATCAATTTAACCCAGTATATTGATGTGTCTTCAAAGTCAGACGAGCCTACAGAGGGTTAAATTGCAATTTATACGATAAATTGTGAACTCGAACGAATATCGATAATCACCGGACGATTGTCATTCCACTTATTTATGGTCTGTTTAATTAATTCGTTCGAATGATCGCTGAGTTTTCGAAATCGTCGCTCTGTTGGAACGTTTCTCGCGCTGTGATTTATGCGAATACTCGCGAGATCGAATCCTCGAATCGAATTGTTGCAACGGTCCATAACGAGTCTCGTATGCACGTGTCCCTTCGAAAGCGTGTCAAGTGGTCGCCGGAAAAACAGCGGCAGAGGAATATTTCAAGTAAACGTGTTTAAACAGTTGAACAATTACAACTGAAGAGAGCCCCCTGCGAACGCGACCCGTTGCCAGTATCTCTGTAGTTAAATATTCATCGTGCTCGTCTCTGTTTCAGTTGTATTAACGAGCAACGATAAGATTGCCAAATAAATTGTCAACATAAAATAAAGTACAACAGATAAGGTGTATCGAGGAGATTACGACTTTCGCGTTAAATAATATTTTTCCTTTATCCTCTTTATCGCGGCTCGATAACAAGTTGTTTATAAAACATTTGTTTACAGTGTAAACCATCGGAGCCTATTCTCTCCCGCAACGGTGCGTTGCTTTCGATAGAAAAATTTGACTATTTACACCGTACGGGTTGCCGAATCGAATCGAAATGGAATCGATCTAATTTTGAAGACTTTCCGTTCGGGCCGTTAATATCGATCGCATCAGGATGGATATCATTGTTGCATGATTTCTATTGGCGAAACAGAACGATTGAATTATTCATTCGATTCTCTCGATTAAATAATCTACATTGTTACTATTAACACGTTCCCTGCCAAAACTCATAACTGTCAAGAAAAGGGTGTATAGTTTAAGACGCACAACACAACGAAGCAATAAATTAAGTTTTTTAGGAATTAGTTTAACGAATACCTGGCTGAACATTACTCTACCGAGCGAGTCGCATCCTCGCGCATAATATTCTTTTATGATGTCTGTATTAGTTTAAAATAAAACATTTCAGTTGAAATATATTTAATATTATATTCATGTGATAAGTTTGTATATAATCAGCGAACTTTGTTAAAACATGGCAAACATAAATGTGGTTTATCCACACAATTACTACAGAATGTTGCAACTTTTACAGTACAGTTTCTCGCCGATTGGGAACCGCATTTTTTAACGTTAAAACAAATCGCAGTAAAGAAAGGTGACTACCACGCATCAGCAATAGTATTAAGATGCCCGTAATTGACTGCATAATGAATTTTTCAAAAATTCTTCATTTTACAATGATAAGACGCATATACCCCACGCGGCAGGGAACGTGTTGATACTAACAATGTAGATTATTTAATCGTGAGAATCGAATCAATACTTGAATCGTTTTGTTTAGCTGATGGAAATCATGCAACAATGATATCGATCCTGATTTGATCGATATTAACGAGCAGATACCTTGTCAGATTGAAAATAAATTGAATTTTTGCAATTCGAATGTTATCTGTATCGAGTGTTGATTGTATATCGAGATTAATTGCAAATGAAGCTGATACTGCAGTTGGCGATGGGCGATCTCGGTATTCAAAGTGATCCGAATCACTCGGGGCATGATTCGATCCCACAAGACTCTCGAGACCTTCAACCCTTTGCATTCGAAAGTTTTTATACAGACGATGCTCGTTGAAACTATTTTAACGACGCTTCACAGATAAATCGAGGATCGAAGTTATTTTATTCCAATATTACGCATACCGATGCATCGTACGAAAGTTTAATATCAAACGTTAAACATGAAACTTCATGATTTCACTCGAGTGCGAAGGGTTAGTAAATTTCCAGTAATATCGTTCAAGACCTATCGGATCGAATTGTATTAATAACGATTCGAATTTTCCGTTGCAGCATTACCAAGTGCCTGAGTGTCCATCGCTACCATCGGTCATGATGTAATTGTACTGACGACACAAAGGAAAAATCGTTGAGTAATGCTCTGAATTAGTCGCACGGATTTCATACAAATTATTAGTCCGGAAGGCCACCTTATCAATAAACGTCGTTATCGTTTAATTAAGTAAACACCTTACGCACCAATTTTCCCAGAGAATTATACTTGTCAATTGTAATATCAGATGTTATACTCAAACAATCAGAAAAACTCGTGCACGTACATAACCAGGGGAAGATGAAAAGAGGAAACGATTGAAATCCGTAAGTCACGGCGGTTTCCAGTTGTTATTACGTTATGTCATTCTCGATAAATCCGCAAAAAAGAACAAAAGCGAAACGCATCTCTGTTAGAAAACATTGAAAGGAATCGATGTAACTGAATAACGTGCACGACTCAGTTGAGTTTTCCCTTTAAAAACTGTACGGAAGCCAACGTATACAGGGTGTATCGATATCGGAATATACCCGAAACTCTCATCCAACCAACCTAACCGAGACCTAAGACACCCAAAGTCCTCATCCAAACTAAATCAAATCTCGTCAACATGGCATACCCTATCTCTGCAGTTATGACAAGAAACCTTGAAAATCCTCAGACAGAAATTCGAAAACTGAAATCTCAATCAACCCAACCTCATCATCATCTAGCACTAGAACTACCGAGCATTTAATACGATTAATATGTAATCCCTATAAAAATTGTAATAATCGATTATTATCAATTCCTTCAGACATTTATTATAGTATTCAAGTGAAACTATTTACTTTCAAGATAAATATAGAAATAACATCCCTGATCATGAATAAACGTGAATTGTATTAGAACGAATTAGCAACGACTTCTATGATTTACCTACTTGTGCAACTAAATATCTTCATATCAATATCTAAATATCAAACGTCTTCAAGAGCGATAGAACAAAGTAGAATAAACGTCTATAAATCTAAGTCGATGTTGATCAGCGCGAGTATGAATACACATAATCCTCTGAAACTCGAATTTCTCCGGACTGTATAAACAAACGCGTCTTCTAGGAGCGATAGAACAAAGTGCAGAATAAATCTAGCGTCAACGAAAACCTAGATGAGCCTAGCAGGAACGAGGGAACGTCGACGCGTTCCCATTTCGAATATTCAATACTTTTAACACTAGGTTTTCGGGCATTTATTGTACAGTTTAATCTATTGTTCCTAGAACAATTGATATTCGCCTATTTAGATTTCGAAAATTATAAATTTAAAAATAGACAATTAGGATATACATTCGTGTAATCAAACAAAACCGAAACATTTACCAAATGATTACAAAATTCAATGTGCGTCAAATTGACGGATATTGAATTTTTTAAACATTATATAGTAGCAGTTTAAGTCGATTTTGCGAATTATGCGAATACGCATTGGAATACTCTGGCTTTGAAGCTAGAATCTTCGCGATTTATACAGACGAACACGTAGTTTCCTAGGAACAATAGAACGAACTGTAGAATAAACGTCCGCAAATCTAGTGTCAAGGTATCAATAGTTACGAAATGAGAACATTGAAACCAGTCATTTCGACTAGTTCCAGTGCCAAGAAGCAGTCCCCTAGGAGTCCGATTCCTCGGCCGATCGTTCGGCTCAGTGGACTGACCGAGGATCGTCTCGGCGTAGCCGTTCGCCGCTTATCAGAGGCTCGCCGTTGAAAGTCCTCCTGCCGCGGATCGTCTCCTACGCCGGCCGTCGGGCTTTATCAGGTGACGTGCCCCGGCCGACGATACGTCTCATTTTCGTGCCGCGGATCGACAGCACGCAGCTCGAACACGAAATCGTTCGGCGCACGACCGCGCACCGCGGCGGAGGAGACCGGCCCCGCTCGTCGTGTAGAGCGATGCGACGATTGGACTTTGAGCGGTCAAAGATTGGATCCGACATGGTGGACAAGAGGAGGCCTCCTTCTCCGCGTGCGAGATATATCGGGTCACAGATATATCGTGGTCGTCCTGCTGCGAGGATCGTTTATTACGCGGCCCAACGCGAAAGCTGAATCGGCTGCTGAATCGGTCGTGCGACGAAAACGAGCAGATCAGACGCGCGGTAGAAGCAACATGTCGTGCGAGATCGAGACGGGCCCGCCGGGACCGGAAGCCCTCGCGGTCGCCGCCAAGGAGCTACGCGAAACCGAGGAGAACGTGAAGAAAGGACTCGAGGAGCTCAGGAAATTACTCGAGGGTGAGCGTCCCGACGTTTTCTTCCCGCGCGTCTTCCGCCGGCGTCTCGCTGTTCCCTCGTTCGTGCTGGGCTCATCTAGCTTTTCGTTAACGCTAGATTTACTTTACACTTTTATCTCGTAATTATTGATATCTTAACGCTAGATTTACGGACGTTTATTCTACACTTCATTCTATTGTTCCTAGAAAACTACGTGTTCGTCTATATAAATCGCGAAGATTCTAGCTTCGAAACCAGAGTATTCCAATGCGTATTCGCACAATTCGCAAAATCGACTTAAACTGTTACTATATAATGTTTAAAAAATTCAATATCCGTCAATTTGACGCACATTGAATTTTGTAATCATTTGGTGAATGTTTCGGTTTTGGTTGATTACACGAATGTATATCCTAATTGTCTATTTTTAAATTTATAATTTTCGAAATCTAAATAGGCGAATATCAGTTGTTCTAGGAACAATAGATTAAACTGTACAATAAATGCCGAAAACCTAGCGTTAAAAGCATTGAATATTCGAAATGGGAACGCGTCGACGTTCTCTCGTTCCTGGTAGGCTCATCTAGGTTTTCGTTGACGCTAGATTTATTCTACACTTTGTTCTATCGCTCCTAGAAGACGCGTTTGTTCGTATAGTCCGGGGAAATTCGAGTTTCAGAGGATTATGTGCATTCGCATACTCGCGCTGATCAACATCGACTCAGATTTATAGACGTTTATTCTACTTTGTTCTATCGCTCTTGAAGACGTTTGATATTTAGATATTGATATGAAGATATTTAGTTGCAGAAGTAGGTAAATCATAGAAGTCGTTGCTAATTCATTCTAATACAATTTACGTTTATTCATGATCAGCGATGTTATTTCTATATTTATCTTGAAAGTAAATAGTTTCACTTGAATACTATAACGAATGTCTGAAGGAACTGATAATAATCGATCATTACAATTTTTATAGGGATTACATATTAATCGTATTACTCGCGCTGATCAGCATCGACGTAGTCAGTAGATTTATAGACGTTTATTCTACTTTGTTCTATCGCTCCTAGAAGACGCGTTTCGTCCGGGGAAATTCGAGTTTCAGGAACAGAGCGTTATGCGTATTCGCCTACTCACGCTGATCAGCATCGACTTAGACAGTAGATTTATTGACGTCTATTGTACTTTGTTCTGTCGCTCTTAGAAGTCTGTGCGTTTTTTATAGAGATCACGATAATTGTAGGTTCACAGCTGGAAAATTACAATGTGTGTTCGCGTAATTGCAGCAATCGATATTCGAGCATTTTGATTTATTTACTGTCAATTAGCCGATCCGATTCATTTATTCTACTACTATTAAAGTAGCTAAATCATAGTCATTGCTAATTCAATGATCAGTTTGATCGCACGATTACAAGAGTCACCAAGTCTTCTATATCACACTAAGTCTAAATGAAGGTTAAGGTAGGATCGCTCAGAAGCCTGACATCGTCAAATTCGTCTAGAATCTTCGAAAGAAATCATTGAAATCCCCGAATGCTGGTTACAGCTCGCAAGCCTGCCGAGCAAATCGACAGGCGAGTATAATTGAAATTCCAGCGTACGCCGCGTTACGTTGAACGCTCGTAATTCAATGGAGTTATCGATAAGTTGATAGACGATTAATCGCAGCTTTATCGACGCCGAGCGGGCGAACAATTAGATTTCGAGGTGCCCGCCGCACCTGCGTTACGCTCGGCCGTCCAGCGACGATCAAAAGTCTCCGAAGACGCTTCCGTTCCCTCGACCGCTAGCCGAAACGAGAACGTCTCGCACGCACGCGAATTCAGCTGTTTTCGCCGGCCGGTCTCGATAGTTTATCTCGTTTTTAGTGCGTGTACTACCATGAACCTTGAGTGTTTGATATACCGGTCGCTCTTTCGCCGCGGAGGCTCTGACTGAAAAATTTGGATTATCAGTATTATCCAATAATAAGTTGTACAAATAAAATTTGTTCGCTAATCAGCGTTTTATACGTCGCTTGTTCCTTCGCAGTGACGATAAATACAGGAGATAATCAACGAATTAGTACCATCATCGCTTTTACTGCACATTTTTTCAGTGATAAGTTCAGAAAATTCAGTTTGTTCACTAATCAGCGTTTTATATATCTCTGATCGAAAAATTAGGATTATCATAGCTTTTACGTCACATTTTTCCAATTATAAGTTGTACAAATAAAATTTATTCGCTAATCAGCGTTTTATATATCGCTTGTTCCTTCGCAGTGACGATAAATACAGGAGATAATCAACGAATTAGTACCATCATCGCTTTTACTGCACATTTTCTCAGTGATAAGTTCAGAAAATTCAGTTCGTCCGCTAATCAGCGTTTTATATTTCTCTGATCAAAAAATTGGGATTATCATAGCTTCCACGCGGCATGTTTCCAATAATAAGTTGTACAAATAAAATAAAAATAAAATAATCAACGAACTAGTACCATCATGGCTTTTACTGCACATTTTCTCAGTGATAAGTCCCGAAAATTCAATTTGCCCACTAATCAGCGTTTTATATACCTCTGATCGAAAAATTAGGATTGCCATAGCTTTTACGTCACATTTTTCCAATGATAAATTCGGAAAATTAAATTTCTCCGCTAATGGTAGAAGTCCGAAAGGTAATTCAGTAATAATTTCTTCGTCGCTTTGTTGAGACCGAAAGTTACGCGAAGAAGTTGAGTCGGAGTCGTACAGAATTAATACGAGAAAGAGGACGGACGAGAATTAGATCGTTGAATCATTGCTGATCTCTTTAAAGATAACCCCAACGATAGTCTGAATTTTTTTACCAGACAGTGTGGAAGAAACGATTAAGTATCTGGTATCGGAACTCTTAAGGTACGCTATCATCTGGTTACTGGTCCCTCGAATGTCTGTTTTCGGCGTTAATCGTCTTACATGAGCTAATTATGTTCCAGCGATTTGCTCGTTCGCTTGGCGGCTCGTTCGAATTGCTTTCCTTCGTGTGTTCGCTCGCTGGCGATGGACCGGTGGAGAAACGAACAGAAAAATTCGTGTGACCTATGTTTCATGTCGCGCGCCTACGAGCCTCGCGTTATCAATTTCAGGCTTTAATCTTTATTAGATAACTGTGTAAGAAAGTAGCTTCTCGAACGCTGTGAATTCTGGAATCTAATATTCCGACATACATTGAGTTCTGATCTTGAAGTTTGAATTTAACCGTTTGAGTTTGTGTTGCGCCAAAAATGAGAACGCGGAGGCGCTTCTGTTTATCGGTATCAATTATAATTTTCTTACTGTGTTCCTCAAGAAATAAATTAAAGTAAATTTATTCGAATAAACGTTATTTTTTGATACTTTTTGTAATAGCAATATTCGTGATCTCGTTAGATAAGTACTCTTATTAACACTGGAACTACGGAGAATTTAATACGATCAATGTGCAGTTCCCATAAAAATTGTAACAATAGATTATTTTCAGTTTCTTGAGACATTCATCATAGTACTCAAATGAAGCTATTTATTTTCAAAATCGAATATTCAATGCTTCGAAGATATGAATAATTGCTAAACGAAAAAATCGAAGCCAGTCGTTTTCACTGGCACGGTAGTTCTAATGTTAATTTTTTTGCATACACAATGTAGAAGTTGTTTAGCATCCAAACGATTAATCAAGTTACACGACGTGAGGTTTTTTAATTAATTCAGTTGTTTAATCACATCGGACTTTAAACGTTGATGGTCAAAGAATAGATCGAGCTGTAAAGGATAATGCACCGAAGAGATCTAATTACTAACGACACGCGTGCGCATTGAATATTTATACACAATGTTTCCAACAAAAACTGTTGCCTCGAGGTTTATTCAGCGCGACAGATTTCTTTAGAAGACGCGCTTCGTTCGGAACGAAACGAGAAGCGGCTCTAAGATAAGGAAATCCGAGGGAAGCGAAAATCGCTGGAGATTCTCGCGACGCTTCATTTAAAATTGAATCGGTTTGGATCGGAACTGACGCGGGTCGACTCTGTTTTTACACGGACACATCGGAAGAACCATTTATATCTTGATTATTCTCTCTGTTTCACGGAGAACTGATAACCAGTGAGCTATGGCGCAGGTAACTTCTAAACTCGTTCGTCGGATCGGCTTTAATTCTGAGGGAACTTGTCATTTTTCAACACTCTCGCGGTGATTCGTGATATTGCTCGTTTGTGAATTGTAATAATAAGTATCTTGGTGATACTAATATTAGTATAACGTCATCTTTCGTCGGAAGAACTGTCCGATTAACTGCCGGAAGATTAAATTCTGCAGAGACTTCGATTGATCGGAGTTTCTAGAATTCCGAACAAGAACGCCATTTAAAGATTTAACGCTAACTGTATGATAACAACGCTTCTTAAACTTCCTTAAAGATTCTACGTTTCTATCGCCCATTAAACTTTTATCAATCTTTACATTATCCGACTAATCAACTCTCAACTTTTTCCTAAGAAAAAATGTATCGATCAATTCATTCGCCTTTATCTTCCAATCAATCAGTCAACAGTTCACGATAGAATTAATTGCATATAAACTACGATCACTACACATTCACCGTTTAATTCCCAGAAAGCGATTTTCAATGAGATCAATTCATAACTATACGCAAAGTATTCGAATATCTTATTTCATAAATCTCAACGAAATAATCGGTTCTTACAAAGCTCAATGTTTCCTTCTATCGCCAGCTAGTTAGCGAAGCTTAGGAGGTATGTGCGTATCGATACAAAAGCGAGATTCCCGAGTGTTAACCCGATCTTCTTAGTGCATTGTGGACTAGACCAGAGGTCACGTTTTCCTCGATAACGGCTATCACCAGTGTACCCGAGGCTTTCTATCTTTGAGACTCCCGGTTTACACGATCGAAGAATGTTCCATCTTCCCCGTTATTTCGTTCCCTCTTCCTTCGCGGGGGAAAACAACCTGCGGCCGGCGATACACCGGACTGGAGGCGATCGAGGATCGCTGATAAGCCGATCGATCCGGAATCCGTGGCGATAAGCGACGCCGCGGACCTTGACCCTCGGCTGCGACAACGGGAACAGGCCGAGATCCGTACACTCGAGATAACATTCTTATTGCACTGGCGCAGAATCGCGCTCGCCCGCTGATAACATTGGAATTAACGCCGATAACGCGCCACGGCCGTCCAACGGCGCGTCGGAACTTTCGAATTTCGCGGGCGAAATCACGGCGAATCGCAGCGAAGGCGCCTCGTAGGCCTGGTTCAGCGTAAAGGCGGGAATTTTGAAAGTTCGCCACGGTTCTCGGAGTTCCTTCGTTTCGGGTTGCGTCTTTGATCGGTAGATTGTAGGTGTTCGTAGGAATCTGCGTTTCTTCTACCGATCTTGAAGATTTCCAGCGATTATTGTATTTTGTTGTTTTAGAATCTGTTTGAGACTGGGTTGTTAGTGTTTGGAGATTTGAACTTTCCACGATTTTGGAAGTTTGTAGCAGTTTCTGAGAGTTTGTTGCTTTAGATTTCGTTTCTGAACTAGATTATGTATTCGAGGGTTTTGTAGGATTTGAAGTAGATTGATCGTTTGCTTGATTGGAGCTCTTCAACCCTTTGCGGACGAATGACGTTTCGACGAGATGGAATTGTCATATTTGGAAGTCTAAGTCGCGAACGAATTATTTAATTGCTAGAATAACAAGAGATCGGCACGTAGTTTCTGTTTTTAGCTTCATGTGCTGAGCATTTTGTATATTTCAAAGAATCTTCTTCTGCAGAGGGTTAACTCGTTGAACATCGCGTTTTTTAATGATTCGAACGATTTCGTGCGTCGGAGATTGATAATATTCTTCAGGCCACTGATTCGCGTATTTACTTAACCGGTTCACCGGTGCGCGACGAGTTAACGACGAAGGAGATGATTTTGCGCGCGCACAACCACCGAGAAGTTTGTTCAGGTGAAGCTGTCTTGTTTCATTGTCCGATTGACACGCGGAAACCTGGGATTTCGTTTGAAAATTCCGAATGACGTAGCACCGAGGCGACTTTAAAAAGCAACGATAACAGGAGATGACAACTTAACAGCGAAAGTATTCGGACGCGTGTGAGTCATTACACACACTGTTGCCGATATGATAAACAATAAAGCCGGAACGACGCAAAAATAACGAGCGATAAGATTAAACAATATTCCGTAAATAAGGGAATAAAGCAATTATATCGAGCCACAACATAAACTTCAAATTGCAGTATCTCGGATTTTTCGATTCGCAATCTCTGTTTTCTCGGTTTGAAGTCGAAGCGACGAACCGACGGCGAAAGTGGCCGTTTCTCTTGAAGTTTTCGCGACGAGTCTCGATTCCGACGTTTTAAATATGAATACGGTCCCGTTTCTAATGGCGCTGTTCAGACATTCGTCTATATTAGAATTAGAATGCGGATGGAACAGGAAATAAATGACAGTTACGGATTATTCACGGTGGAAACGCCTGTGGAATGACAACCGACTCGCGGCGCGACACGACCGTTAACTTATCGCGCGAATGCTGCGATTCTAAAGTTTGGGGCGTGTTACAGCCTTAACACATTGAACGCCGGCTAAATTTCAGCTGCTAAAAACGCGAGCGTCGGTGATTATACTGATAGATTTTTAAACATCGATTAAACCAAAGTTTCTAACTTACGGAAGAGAATAAGGAATTCGATTTTATAATTTTTACTTTGGATTTGTGTTGTACATATCTAAAATGTTACATGAACGTAGAATTAGCAGTTAAACGATAGACTAAAAATCTGGCATTATCGGGCAGGCGCTCAATGTGTTAGAATGATAGTATTTCTAAAATAAATAAATAAAAATTGAATATTTCTTCTCAATTTTAGTTTCTGTTTAACTCCATATAATGGTAACGGTGAATTTTCTGTTAACATCGTTGCGGGATGCATAGAAGAAATGTTCAAAATCAAGCTGAACGATAAAATGAATATTAAAACTGTCCATCAGTAAGAAGTATAAATAACTGAATGATTCGAAGTGGCGGAAATGCAGATAAAAATACAACGAAACCCCCGTTGGTAGGATATATCTGAAATCGCGAAAGATTTCCACTGAGTGTTTGCAATAATTTATCACGGGGGGCTTGTCAATGTCCAAAGATACGTCCTTATCACCGAATGATGCACTGCACCTATTGAATGTTTACGAGGACACACGAGCGAATGAAAGATACACTTTGTACTTCGATGATTAACGTCCGCGTGATTGTATCACCGTGCCCGTTGTATTTTTCGTTACACATCATGCTAAATTTTAATCGAACGAGTCACAATCGTTCCCAATGATCGTCGGGAATGCTGTGTTTCCCACAATGCTACTCGCGTGTCTTGCTTCGAATTTATAGTTACAAGTTGAAGTCACAATGGACAATGAAAGAAAATATTCACAAATCGGGAACCATCTCGTTCGTCGATGATTCCATTCAAACGAAAGAAACTGGAAGTTCCATTACACTTCATTACTGAAAGACCAAATTGCATTCGGTTTTAGACACCGCTCACTTTTAATATATTACATTGTTTCTAATGAAACTTTCTCTAATGAATATTTAACAAACGCAGTGTTCACGATCTATTCGTGAGGACTCAAGGCACAAACGTCAAATTACAAAGAATCGTTTAACCCCTTCAAATCTGATTTCCAAACAAAATCATGTTCACCTGACAACAAAAGACTGAATTCAATGCAGTATTAATGACACCTGTTTTGAATAAAATATAGTGCACTTTTCTGATGAAAATTAAAGCAAGGGTGTATATATGGCTTATAATTTTCATGTTCTATAATACATTGAAACAGGTAAAATATTAGAATGTTTTATAATTAATACTAAAATGTTCATCAAGTCTGAAGGGATTAGAAGCATTGTTCTTTCCACGATCGAGACAAATATTTGGAAATTGTCTCAGTTAACGTATGCATTTCCTCGACAACCGTTCACGTGTCTCATCAATGTTTCCGCTGATAAGTTCGACTAACAATGGCTGAACTCCGCTCGTTCTCCCGCGTCTCTTTCGATTTTCCGTCGGATTTTCAGTTTCCACGGACTCGAGGCTCGCCAATTCGAAAGTCCCACGATGCCGGGCTCGCCGGGCAAATGGAGATCATCGCAATTTCCTTAACGAGGATCACCGAGGCAATTTCCTACGGAACGAGCCTTCGTTCCTCGCACGCGAGGACAGTTCCGTCCGCCATTGCTGTCGCGGATCGTGAAACGAAAATCGTTCGTTTCGCCGTTGGCAACGATCGTCCTTAATTACGTAGCCGATTCGATGGTGATTAGCCGGGAAATAACTGTCTTCGTGACAAAATACCCGATAAATCGACTGTGCACTGCTTCTACGTTCTTCGAGATTTCTGCGACGATACGATTGTAAATAATATCGGTGTATTTGATATCAAAAGTTTCTCTACTCTGTTGCTTATTTCGTTTTAGCGAACGTTTATTAAGAAATCGTAGATTTACAAGGAGATTCACTGATAAATATTTTCTCTTGTAACTGTCCTCATTGAGACTAAGTCGTCAACTATTGGAATTTAACCCTTTGCACTCGAAAGTTTTTCAATGGAAATATTCAAGACTTTTCGACGAGATATATGTGATATTGTTTGAAACTAATTTAACGATAATTCATAGGTAAATTAAGCAACGAAGGTGCTTTATTTCAATATTTCACGTAACAACACGAAGTTTAATTTGAAATATTAAATATTCAACTTTATAGTTTTGTGAAAAGGGTTAATATTCCTTTATCCTTCGTTCCTTCAACCAAAGGATATCACTGTAGTGAACACACTTCAACGAACGATTAACCCAGTGCCCTATAATTCATTTCTCAACCGTTCTCGATGAAACAACTCCATCGTTAACAATTCAACAGACAAAGGAAAGAACTTGCGAATCGTGTCTCTACGTTTGCTATAACCGTCGAACCTTCATACTAGACAAGTGATATCTAACACTAGGTTTACGGACGTTTATTGTCCGGTTTATTCTATTGTTCCTAGAAAAATTGATGTTCGACCATTTAGATCTTGGAAATTAGGGATTCAAAATTAGGTTATTATACGTATTCTTGTAACTGCATCAACCAAAACCGACATCAACGTGTGCCAAGTAATGTTTATAAATTCAGTATGCGTCAAATTGACGCACTCCGGAAACCTAGTGTTAATTCACGTTAAAGATAAACAAATGATTCGTCGATTACTGAAAGGCAGACGGTTCAACCATCTGATTCAGCAAAACCTGATTATCTGAATGTTTTGATAATGTGATTAATCAAAACCTGATTATATTCAGTACACAACTGACACATAATCCATATTCTCAAGGAACGCACACTTACGGTTTTCACGAAAGAATTTCGAAAAGTCTGTTCAAGCGGTAGTTCCAGTGGCAGTTCGCCGTGCCGCGTTAATGGCGGGCGCGAGAACGTAGACCGGTCGCGTTGTTATTGATCCAGGGCAGAGGACAATGAAATTTACACGAGCGGTGTCTCGGTTGTTCCATTCTCGCGTTGCGAATAACGCGATCGAGATGATCGCAGTTCGAATATTCTGACGGATTTATTCTTTCGCAGGGGACAAGACCATCTACTTTAAGACGGACGATGAGGTGTTGATGATTTTCCTGCGGCCGTGCAAGTTCTACGCGAACAGCGCGTTCCAGCTGATGAAGAGGTCCGTCGAGTTCAGGGACAAGAACGCGAGCCTCTTCGAGAACCTGATGCCGGCCGACGAGAAGACCGCGTTGCTCCAGTACAACGTCGTCAACGTGCTCAAGGGCAGGGACCATAAGGGACGAAGGGTGCTGCTGGTCAACTCCGGGAAAACCTGGGACCCGTCGAAAGTCTCCGCCGATCAGATACTACGATTGTTCTATCTGGTCCACATCGTCGCGATGCGGGAACCCGAGACGCAGGTACACGATTCAACGCGTTCACGGAATTTCGAGCGTTCCGTGCAACATTAACCGGTTAACCCTTTGCACTCGACAGTTTTTCACTAGATGCAATATTTCACAATGAGATGTGAACGACGTTCTTCGACACTAACGAGCGAAAGAACGTACGTAAATTAAGAATAGCTATTTTATTTCGATATGTCGCATTTCGATGCATTGTACGAAGCACATTATACGTAAGATTATAATTTTGCTACATCGAATCTAGTGACTGAGAGTTACCTCTCGGGTGCAAAGGGTTAACTGTGACGAGTATACACGTCATCGTAAAGCTTGACACGATACTTTACGAGATTTCTTTTGTTTATAGATAAATGGGACTATTGTGATAATGGACTTCGACGGGCTGACTATGAAGCAAGTGATGGGACTGACGCCATCTTACAGCATGAAGCTCCTGACTTTCATCCAAGACGCTATGCCGTTGCGTCTTAAAGAGGTCCGTGTGAAATTTAAGCTTCTTTTGCTTTTCTGCGAAGTAGAAACGCGTGTTTATTAAAATAGACGAGTAGAATTTATTCTATCTATGAATGTATGTAGAATAATTCCACATAAATGTGAATAGAGGAGTAGAATTCGTAAATCTATGAATCTGTGTAGAATAATTCCTCATCAATGTGAATAGAAGAATAGAATTCATGAATCTCTAAATCTATGTAGAATAATTTTTCATCAATGTGAATGGAAGAATAGAATTCATGAATCTCTAAGTCTATGTAGAATAACTCCTCATCAATGTGTAAAATAATTGCCTATATTTAACTAGAAAAGTAGCATCTAAATGCGTTTCCATAAATCAGTGTAGAATAGTTGCCCATTCATCGAGGTAGACTGAAACCATCAAAGGAACTCAACGATCGGAACATTTCAATTTGACGCGATCGCAAGCGCCGCTGTCGACAGCAAGTATGAATAAGTAAATTGACATTGACGATCTTTTTCAGGTGCACATAGTGAAGCAACCGTTCCTGTTCAACATGGTCTGGCAGATGTTCAAGCCGTTCGTCAGGGAGAAGTTGAAGGGTCGCATGTTCTTCCACGGAAGCAAAATGTCCTCGCTTCACCAACACATTCCGCCGAGCCACTTGCCGAAGAACTACGACGGCGATCTGCCGGAAATCAACTACACCAGCGCCGACTGGTACCCGGCCTTGATTAAATGCGAGGATAAAATTGCAGGTGAACTATCTTCTTTAACTCTGAACGCACCTTCATCCCGTCTTTTAGCACTAGGTTTACGGAACGCGTGAAATCGACGCATATTGGAATTCAGAAATATTATTTTGTAAACGTTCACGCCGATTTTGATTGATGCGATCACACTGACATGTACCCCAATTACCTACTATCGAATCTCCAGTTTCCACAATCTAAATAAACGAGCATCGATTCTTTTAGGAATAATAGAATGAAGACAATTAATGCTCGTAAACCTAGTGTTAAAGACAACGGTAAATCTATTACAATTTTCCAATTTTCCATCAATTCATGAAAGCAGAAAGCCAAAGCGTTAACAGTCAAAAAGTCAGTTTCAAGATGGAAGATTTTTGCGCGAAGAGATTCTACTGAATGATTCGAAACTTAACGATACATATATCTATTGAAAGTAGAAAAGAAATGACTGAATCATCAGATGCACGTCTTAAAATCATGTACATCCTACTTAGTCATTTTTTCATACTCTCAATGATAACGGAAATAATCTAGGTGCTTGAGTTAAAGTATCGTTTCTTAATTACTTTCCTTTTACTTTTAGAATGGAACACATTTGGCTCCAGAAAGGCCGATTAGACTGATATTCGTGGAGCATCACGGAAGCTGTAACACTCGAATCGTCCGAGCAATGGACAGACGTGTCCAGAAACTGTTGTTATTATTTTGAAATAGATTTCCGCTTGATTGTATACTTTTGTACGTTAGGCAACTGTTACGGTAAATAAATAAAACGGTTTACACGAGTCTGTCTGGATGTTAATGTCTCGATAACGATCGCCATCTGACCGCATCGTTGACTGTTACATATGGATCGTACCTTATAATTAGAGACAATAGTATCTATTGTTATTTTACAATTGGTAAACACAAAAAGAACATACAATTATATAAATATTTTCTTTGAACGCTTACATCTGTTTCGTTCGATTTATTTAACACTAGATTTACGGAACCCAACAATTTGACGGATACTGCATTTTTTAGTTATTTATTTAGTATCAGTTTAAGTCGATTTTGATTCGTGCTATTATGCGAATACGCATTACAATAGTCTGGTTTTGAAGTTACAATTTTCGCGATTTGTATAGATGAGCACGTAGTTTTCTAGAAACAATAGAATAAAGTTTAGAACAAAAGTCCGTGAATCTAGTGTTAACCGTGCGCGTATACTACCGCTTTCCATCGCAGAGGTTAGGTTCGAAACCTTAACGCTAAAGCTGCAGGTCAAAATGACCCATTTCTTTTTTTATCAATTATTGAAAAGGTAATAGACGTTTCTGTGAGAAATTATTACAGAAACTGATGTAGCGATACGCAAACTGAATTGCGAATCAATTAAACTTTCAATAGACGCGCTCTTGACACTAAAACTACCGAGCACTTCAATTGACTTTTGAAAATTTCGCTGTAGAAACTCCAAGAGTGCATCTGTTCGGACTTTCATTTATTTACAATTCAGTTTGCGTAGTGCTAAATGAATTTCTTTAATAATTTCTCAGAGAAACATTTGTTACCTTTCTAATAATTGCAAAAAGAAGACATCAGGAGTCATTTGACCCCTCTGGTAGTTTTAGTGTTAAAGATTTCATACAGGAATTTCAAAAAGTCAATTTAACTGCTCGGTAGTTTTAGTGTTAATTAGTGAATTTAGTGAAAACTGGGAAACTTACGAAGGCGGAGGAATAGAAATAGAAATGCAACGCATTTGAAATATTCAAAGTTACGCAAGTAGATTCGGTGCAATGAATTCGTCACGTGTCCGATAACGTGACAAAATGGAGGATACGGACTCGTGGCGTTGAAGTGTGAAAATATTAGAAGGCTGTACGATGTGGGACAGGAAATTCGATAGATAATGGGATTCTAATTAAAACAGACTTCCTAGTTCAAGGGCCAATGACAAGCCTCTGAAGTGATGGCCTTTCGGTAAAATTTCGCAAACGTGATGAGGCCATCAGCATTTCAAATGTCCATCAGACGATTGCGTTAACTGTATACAACGTTTCAGCGTAGCGTCGACGATTCGTCAACATTGTTTTCAATGGATCCGTTGGCACAAAAAAACGCTGACAATTTTGGGTCAATGTTACGTTGATTCTTTGATCGAAATTCGCACCTCCGTCAGTCGCGCGGAAAATAAAAATGACGAACTATCATGTTTCTATTATTGAAACTTACGGTTAATATGATGACTGATGATAACGGAGCAAGATGTCGCGTGTTCTAAAATTTTGGCACTCGGTGGGAAAATGATGGTCACTTAATGACCGTACTCTCGTCCTAATTGTTCACCGTGAAAAACCAAGCTGCAACAGAATTTAATTCAATTACGTTTAATTGGCGCTGAATTTGTTCTAGATTGTGTTTTCCTTTAATCCTTTGTCTCACGCTTTGTTTCGACTCAAATGTTTCTAAGATCTACTTACGCTATTTATGTCTGTCACCATTTTACGGATACAATGACCATAAAGAAAATTCAAGTATCAGAGGATCCAGTGAAATTTACGAAAATAAGACAAATATGTTGGTTATAATACGACAAACTTATAAAATAATTAACAAAATCAAGTGTGTTACTTCACGGGCTCACACAATGGGTTAACGACCTAGTCGATTAAGTTAAAATTCCTGAAATTCCTCTGTACACTTTGCCAGTAATTAACAATCATTAATACACAATCAGAAGACGAAACAATGCTTCCGAAAAACTTAAAGGAAAGGTGGGGAACGTGACGACACGGATAGCTCAAAAAATCGTCATAAATGGACAACGAGGCACTTACCACGAAAGTCGACGATATTTACATAACGAGCGAACGCTCCCAAGCTCGTTACCAACCGTCGCGACTTCGTCACACTCGTAATAACACCGTGAATCAGGCCTGGGACAAACGACAACAGAGAAATTTCTGTTGCGTCAGGATCACGTCGCGCTCGCTTATTGCCAAATCGAAAGGTATCAAATTTTCCGAACGTAAGACGAACGGTGAATTGAAAAGCATCTTCGCTGTTACGAAATGTTTGAAAGACAGAGACAGCGTGTAACTAGATGAATCAAACAATGACAGTTGCGAATAATTTTACACTCCTTTGCACTCTTCGACCTGCAAAGAACATACGATCTACAGGTCAGAAGCTACATAGAACGCTTTTAATTTCAGACGATTCAAATATCGTAATAAAAATATGCTCATCTATTTGATATTCCACATTGAACTCAATACAACCCATTGGATATCGAGACGAAACATTCTATCAAACAATGACTGTTGCGAATAATTTCACTTACTCCTTTGCACTCTTCGACCTGCAAAGAACATACGATCTACAGGTCAGAAGCTACATACAACGCTTGCAATTCCAAACGATTCAAATATCGTAATAAAAAGATGCTCATCTATTTAATATTCCACATTGAACTCAGTACAACGCGTTGGATACGATATCGAGAGGAAACATTCTATCGATCGAAATCTAGAAAAGAAAGGAACTCTCGCGCGAAGGGCTTCCGTCGACAAAATGGAGGTCGCGGACACCTCCGGCGGTCCGCGCGAACGGCTCGCGCGTAGGAAGTGAGGAGCGCGATAGGAAGTTCGGGAAAGAATAAAAGAGAGGAAAGAGAACCTGATTCCCGCTCGCTCGCCGCGGGAACCGTTAGACCGGCGTAGAGGAACGTAAAACGCGGCCGGCCGGCCGCCGGTGCGATGCAATTACGCTACACGGTCGTCGACTGTAATGCCTGACATTTGACATCGGGCGGCGGCGATTGAAATTTCATTGTAATCCGCGCCTCGGCGGCGGCCGGCAGCGCGACCTACGCCGACTTTTTCACTGTCACGTTCACTCGGCTAGAAGAAAAAAAAGTGGGAGCGGACGACGGGCTGGCTTTCCAGCCGATTTCTGACAACGGGACGTCCGCGCTGAGCAGTCTTCGCCGGTGCCTGGCCACGTTGCATCCTGCCCGTTCGTCGGTCCCCGTGCAACCCGCGACAACCTGTTTTCCGTTGCCCTTGAACCGCTCCTTGCGTCACCGACCTTCGCTCCGCCGCGGAACAATCGGATTCTCTCGTTCGATTCGACTCGCGAGGTAACTGTTCTCCGGGCGCAACGTTTTCCGGGGGATCCGAAGGGGAACCTCTGCTCGGCGGGCCTCTCCTGGGTATCGGTCGCTCACTTGTGCCGCGTTTTTGCTGTCGGACCGACGGAACGACGGAGGATCTCGCCGGGAACGCTCCTCGAGGACTTCGGTTCGGTCCATCAGGTACTGGATCGACGCTGGTGCTTCTTGGTGCTGCTTTTACCTTGTTCTTGGGGATAGGCTCTCGTATTAGGTCGTTTCGTGAGTAACGTAGTTCACCTTGTCTGACTTTGTAAGGGATTGGTTAATGGCTAGGAATTGGTAAAGTAGTGATTGGGAAATGGCAGGTTGCATGCAACGATACGTTGAGGATTGAGAAATGGGGGATTAACCCTTTGCACTGAGAGGCGCCAGTCATTTGATTTGACCCAAGGAAATTGTGAAATTGAAAATTCAATGTTAAGTTTTATATAATGCACGAACGCATGGAACATCGGAATAAAATGGTTGTGTCACTTAATCTATGCAAGGTATTTCTTTATGTTGATTGCAAAAAATATCATTGACATTTCATCGGAAAGTTATAAAATTTCGTATTTAATATTATACCTCGTATAATGCATCAATTTGAGAGATACCGAGATAAAACAGCTTTGTTCCTCAACGTACGTGTGATTTCTCGTCGAGTTAGTTTCACAGAATATCGCCTTCATCTCATTAGGAAACGTGAAGATATTTCTAGTGAAAAAATCGAGTGCAAAGGGTTAAGGTTTCCGCAGGAGCTGGAACAACGAACGATGTTACTCGTGGGATGACCTAATGCTTTGCGACAGTGTGGACGCTTTCGTATTTGTTTTGCTTAATTGGATCGAGTGGAACTTCTGGTGTTCGGACGAAGGATCGCTCGAATGATCGTGACGATGAATTGCGATTTTTAAATACGAAGAAGCTAATTGCTTAACGAGGATAAGATGTCCTGTACAGGAAATGTTTTTAGGTTTAATTATTACGTGTATATCTGTTCGCTCGAACAGCGTTCAAAGTAAGAGGCAAAAAATTCTCAGGTGTTCCTGATAATTAGTGGAAACGTGTTACATTGTCGAGGAGAATTGATTAATTGAAACTAGGTTTATGGACGTGTATCATCCGGTTTATTCTATTTTTCCTAGAAAAATTGACGTTCGACCATTCAGATCTCGGAAATTAGGGATGTAAAATTAGGTTATACGTATTCTTGTAACTGCATCAACCAAAACCAATATAAACGTTTGCCAAATAATGTTTATAAATTCAGTATGCGTCAAATTGACGCACTCCGTGAACCTAGTGTTAAATCGAGACCAATCATGGTATTTTCCTCGACGTCTCCCAATACTTATATATTTACAAATGGCACGATCCCGGTTTAAGTCGATTGTTCTCAAAGCGATTATCTTCGTTCATGTACCGTGACTTAGTAAAACAAGAATAAAAACGGTCAGTCGAACCAGTACACCGATCGCATTTAACCTAATTATCATTTCCAAAGACTGTGGATCACGCTTTCGAAGTAACTTTCACGCAAAGCAACTTCGAATCCAAGTTTCCACGGTCCACTGCTCGGCCTGTAAAGTTCCCCATCGAACTCTTATCGAATGCATTACGACCGGAATGTTTAACTAACGCATTCCCCCGGAGATTTCGAGCTCTCGATGGAAGTTTGAGCAAGCAGCCTTAAAGTTTCAACGTTTTCAACTTGCCACTTTCCCTGATGATTTTTCGTGCTATTCTTTAGAGTTTATCTGTCATTTTCTTTGGAAATTTTACGAGACTCTTTTGTCTTGGTTCTTGGCACACATGTTTAATGTTATTTACATACAATGTATTCGTTTCAAGTGAAGATACGTAAAATTCAAAGTTGTACGGCTTTGAGCGATGTCTTGAAAAAGGGACGTTTAATCGGCGCGATTGCAGTCCTTTTGTTAATTAAACGTAAACTAATCAGGTGTAACTTTCATTAGTATGAATGCATTTTAATGTGAAACCAGTGTAATGGAATTTTTCTAACGACAAAATTTTTCTTTTAAACAAGATATTTTCACACAATAACGCGGCACTGTAGAGTTCGAATTTTAATTTCCAATTTCATTTAAACAAATAGAAAAATTGAAAATATATGCCGGTTGCGAGTTTAAAGTGAACCGTACAATTTTCTGATGTATGCGAGTACATGTAATTAGAACAAATCTGCAAGTCTCGGATCACTAGGTGAACATTGTTTTTGATTCGAGAACGATTGCTTAACCATACCTCCGTCTTTTCCAGCGAAACTATGCTTTTTTGTTATTTCGAGCAACCGATGCCTTGGAATATTCTGCATACATTTTAGAAGCAAATGCGCGCGAAGTTCCATACAAGAATGTCCCCTCGATATCATTGCTATTGTACGAACTCGTCGAGAAGCAATTCCATCGAATTATAACGAATTCGAGGTGCTATGCATTTGATAAAATTCACAATCGTCAGAATTTATACAGTCGAGATGTAACGTCAACTAATCCAATTTTTGTCGATATAGTTTCAACTGATCCATTCGTTGTCGATATTATTTCGATTAACCAGTTAACTGCGTTCGACCAGTATACGCGTCTTAAAGCTCGAAATGATTCTTTAAGCTATGAATTATTTATTTCTTCAAATAAACGTGTAATTCTTTGTTTCGTTTCAATTTTTCGTTAGAATATATTACAGATTTGCCCTACGTTTGACAAGCATACATTTAGTCGTCTGATTTTATCGCGCGCACAATGAAAAACTCTGAAACCAAATTCCACAGTTAACAGATTAATCCGATTACCGATTACGATTTCAAGGGGAAGTTTCAACGAATTCGATAATCGTCGGCATTATTCCAAATACGCAATCGAGTGAAGAACTTCCGAGCAGAATTAATCGAAACGTCGGCAGGCAGCACTTCGCTCGAACTTCGATTCCGCGGCTCGAACTTCGGTTATTCAGAGAAACTTCGTTTCTCGGTCGATGGATTCCTCAAACGACGCGGAATAGTCCTTATCAAACGCGTCCCCGCTCGTCGGTGGAAAGTTCCAGCGGCGGAAACGCGTGCGATCGGCGATTTTCCCGAATCAAAGGTTGCCCCGTCGGGATTCTGTGCTGCGGCCGCGTTATAAAACACGTGGTCGCGCCGTGAATACCGATCCGCAGGCTTCGGAGAGCGAACCGTGACGTAACGGACGTAAATGGGAATGAAAACGGAGTGAACGAACTTTCTCCTGCGAGCGGGTTGCCCGTGACGGACGGAAAACGCGCGCGGAAGCTCCGGAGAGAGGTTCGAGCCGAGGACGCTCGCGTTATCGCGCGCGACTCGATTCGTCGGTTCCCGGAACGAATGTTGCTGATAAAGTTGACCGATATTGGATCGGTTACACGGTGGAATTACGTTAGTCGATCTAGATCTAGGAAATGCTCGTTAGATCTTGGAAGATAGAGCTTCTGTATTAATCTGTATTTGAATCTTTCAAGAGTCAAAGCACGCGACTGATGTTTACCCTTTTATACAACGAATTTCTTCGATAATTGATAACGCGAAACGATAGAAACCTTTTCGAATAACGACACCGTGTTTCAGGGAAATCCCGAAATTTACTTTAAAATCATGACTAGACCTCGCGGTCAACGGTCACGAGAGTACAATTGGTTTTTATATTCATATGCGTGTTCTCGAATGTATTCCGATGACGCGGTCCAACATTAAACGCGGAAACAATGAATTGAGTATTCGAATGTAATCTGAATAATTGTAATATATATCACGTTTTTCCGCTGGAGATGGCTCGTGTTATAATAATTGCATAATCGCGAAAGAAATTGCGAGGAAACGAAGCACCGTTCTCGTTGACATGCAATCATATTAGTCGAGTGTTCTGTAGCGTGCGCAAAAAATATTTCTTGTAAGAAATAATGACGGTGCAGTGCGCAGTACAAACTGTTAGAAAAATGTGAATCCGCGTAGAGAGCGGCAGTTAGTTGATAAGTGTGCAGCGCACAGTTCGCCAGCTGACTAACCGGCGATCGACAGTGAACGTTTCGTTGTCTTATCTGTCGCAGACCCGACGGATTAGAATCTCTAGACGAATATAAACAGACGCGTGCACTTTGCACGTCGATAACTTCGACCGATACGGTTTCTCATCGAACGAATATTCAATCGATCGATCTTCCTGTCGTCCTTAATTTGCATGTCGACTCGGGGGATGCGACTTGTTTGCATGTTTCGGAATTTCCAAGCGATCATCGTCGAAGCTGAATCTTCAACGATTTCAAGAGGAATGTAAATATTATTACGTGTTGATATTAATTAATTCGTATTGTTTCCAGAGAAATGTGAATGTAAGTATCGCGTCGCCGGAGAACGTCGCTTTCGCCGTTTCATTAACGAGCTCGAATTTTCGGGGGAAAGCGGGCACCCTTTAACCTGCTTGAAATAATGCCTGGTGTCACGGTTTTGACATTAACGGGTTCGAAATCGTGGGAATCGCGTGACAATCATGGGATCGTGGAATATTAATATTATGCGTGCTGTTACTTATATGATGTCGTTCTGCATTAACCGCATCACAATTAAATTACGTTATATGTTTCACACGCACAACATTACATTGTACACCGCCACCACACGAAAATAAACACCATACTTGGGTCTACGTGTTCTCCGTTGTTTATAAATAACGAATTCTTGTAAATAACACTCGCAAAAAATCTTCTGTAAAATTTCATTGATCTCATTTATCGATTCCCGATTTTACCGATTACCTCAACAATCGATTTTCCATTTTTCCGACACTTTCATTGGTCAACCTTTTATTTCATCGAAATATGTAGATTCCGTTTCCATTGTCCGCGCGATTATATCTTCCAAACGAATTATTTCCAACGCGTGAGAACTTACCGATTTCACCGATTACCTCAACGATCGATTTTCCATTTTTCCGGTACTTTCGTTGGTCGATTTCTTATTTCATCGAAACATGTAGATTCTGTTTCTTCCATCATTGATTGTATCTTCCAAACGAATTATTTCCACGTTGTTTTCCATGTTTTCCGAAAGAAGCTAGAAAATTCGAGAATGAACTCTGAAAAATACATCGATGACAATCAAACGGACACTCATGATACTCGAATCACCGCGAAATCCACCGAAAACCATTGTAAAGCACGGGAATTCGCAGCGAGATCGCGTTAGCGTTGGAAACAAAATGGCGTCCCGGGACGCGCGCGTCATTCACGCGCGACGAACTTCTCGCGCCGCTACGCGTCATTATCGACGAATCGTGGACCCAAGATAACAGTTTAAACCATTGTGTACACTGCCAGACACCACACAAAGAGGGAGAGAGAGAGAGAGAACAGGCGACATTAACAACGCGGACACGAGGCGACACTTAGCGAGCTGTTAAAAGGCCACACTAAAACAGAGACACAGAGGGACACTAGGGGAGAACTCAGGACACACAGATTGCGACCTAACGAGGAAGAGAGGATATTCACGATGTATGTCAGACAGATAACGGTTAAGCACAAGAAGGGAAGCGCCGGTGCAGCCCTGATGTCGCGACAGCGAGACCAAGATGGCGGCGGCAGCGAGACGATCACCGTCAGGGAGGTGCCGCAGTTTAAGGTGGAGAATTTCGTGTTGATGGCTGAATTCGACGATGGGGACGAGAGCTACAGGCAGAAGGCCGAGAACGAGCTCAGGGAGACGCCGGAGGTTGTTCAGCAGGCACTCAAGGATATCAGGGTGTTGGTTCAAGGTACAGTTGATTATTCGCATGATCCCAGCCGGCCTGCGAATGAAGCGCATAGAGAGGCAAAGAGGGATGTCGAACTAGCGGTAGTCAGTTCGATAGTAATGGCGAAATTAGTTTCGGCAGGTTTTTCTTACTGAACGAGTCTTCTTGTCTATCTATTCGTTTCAGACGTAGGCTGGCTGGGATCATGTGAGTGGTCAACTGTGATTTCTCTTAGTAATTGGCGCTAGTTTTGTAGAATGATCGAGTCTTTGAAGCTTTGAGGATTAACTTTGAAGACTGAGTCTTCGAAGTTTCTAGGATTAACTTTAAAGGTTGAGTCTTTGAAGCTTTGAGGATTAACTTTGAAGATTGAGTCTTCGAAGCATCGAGGATTAACTTTAAAGACTGAGTCATCGAAGCTTCAAAATTTTAGAGACTGAGTCTTCTCAAGACAGCCTTGAAGCTTAGAAAGTTCGAACTGAGCCTCGAATAAAATATATTACAATACCATTGGGCCTAACGTAATGATATTTTCCAAATTCACGCAACAAAGAATTTTTACCGGTCACGCCGGTAAAGGAAAAGAGATAATAGAATCTTTAATTAGACGTTCGATAACAATGAAGATCTGAATCCGTACCGAGCAAAGTTCGTTTATCAGTACAGATTGAATCAATTTGTCAAGATATCATTGTTTATCCAGACTTTTCATCGGTCACCATTTTTCTTTGTGCATGCTACATTCATACTAACGTCTGATTCACAAATTAATTAATTATTGTACTAAAGAGAATTGTTAAAATAATATCGTCAGCAATATCACTTGCACGGTTAGCGATTATATTCGATCAAATGATTTCGATTTGATTTATGCACATCGACTGTAAACACTTTCTTAAATAACGGGTGTCTGCATAATGACCGTTCGAACGCTTCGAAGTGAATTCACTCACGAACCGGCTCAATGAAAACGAAAGTCTCAGCTGCTGGTCGTTGGGCCTTTCGGACGAATTTTTATTTTAAACTGAGAGTGACGGAAAATCATTCAAGAACGTTTTACGTGTACTTTCTACTATAGACTGCTGAGGATTTTAGGGCCGCGGTAAAGAGAAACAAATAGCCAATAAATGTCGGGAGCTCGTAGAATGGTCGAATAAGTGCCGGGAATGTCGATGAGCATAAACGAATTGACCTCTGTTTCTTTTCCTTCTTTCTAAGATCAAGAAAATTCGATAACCTCAATCTATGATTATACCTAAAGCAATGAAACATCCAACCAGTTTAATTAGTACTATAAAATAATTCATTCTCACTTTCACTCATTTCATCCATATTTCTATTATCTATCAACTCATTGTTTCATTTACTTGATTTATACAACCTGCCATAAAATTCTTTATAAAAGTAGACAAGTTCTAAAATGGAGGATCACTGCTCTTCATTCTTCTTCCGACGTTTCTATCTTCTCTTCATAATTCGATACTTACATATTTCATTTCATCAATATAACGATAAAATAATTCATTCTCACTTTCACTCATTTCATCCATATTTCAATGATCTATCGACATTGATTCATTTATTTGATTTATACAACCTGCCATAAAATTCTTTATAAAAATAGACAAGTTCTAAAATGGAGGATCACTGCTCTTCATTCTTCCCCATTCCATCTTTATAATTCGATACTTACATGTTTCATTTGATCGAATCGATCAGACCCCAAGATTCCCCGCAATTTTCCCTCATCTCTCGCCTCGTTTCCCGTTAGTCCTCTTCCTCCATGTTCTTCCGCGCTTAACTCAATCGGCGAATACTCATTCACGTTTTTCACTCGAGTGAAACATCCTTTTCCTCGACGATTCCGTCCTGGACGAGGAATCTTCCTCGATTTTTTGCGTCGGAATCGAACATTGAGGCGCCGCTCGCGAAACATACGTCGGAGACGATGATCCGTCAATGATTTGCGGTTATTGTCCACGAACTGCTGTTCTTCACTTGTCCTATTTTACGCGAGAGGAGCGCAGAATGATCTGATCTCTCTGACCTTCGCGCGTTCAATTTTCCAGGCGAGCCCAATTTCGCGGTCCCCGACGACGACGAGTTCTTCCAGAAATTCCTGCGACCCTGCAAATGGTACCCGAAAAGCGCCTTCCAACTGGTAAGTCGCTGTCTGTCATCCGTTTTCTTATTTTCCAGCGAAAATATTGTTATCTATATCGAAGAGAATCGAAAGAAAGAAACGAACGAACGAATGATTGATTTGTAAACAATGAGTGCCACGAAACGCAAGGTTAGATGTTTGATATTAGATCGATGTATTAACCTTTTGCACTCGAGAGGTGACTGTCAATCGCCGCTTGATTTGATTTGCAAAATTATGAAGTCTCATGTATAATATTAACAGTAGAACTACCGTACCAGTGAAAATGACTGGTGTCGATTTTTTAGCAATTATGGATATCTTCGAAGCATTGAACGTTTGAAATGATTTTGAAAATAAATAGTTTCAGAAAAAACTGAAAATAATCTATTGTTACAGTTTTTATAAGAATTGCATATTAATCGTATTAAATGCTCGGTAGTTCTATTGTTAAGTTTTGTATGATGTATCAACATATGGAATATTGAAATAGAATAACTTTCCCTCTTAATTTATACATGTTTCCCCGTTAATTAGTTTCAAAGAACATCGTCTGTATCTCATCAAAGAATATTGAATATTTCTAGTGAAAAACTTTCAAAGCGCAGAGTTATATTTACTTATTAAATAACATTCTCTTAAATTGAAGCAAAATATTATTCATCTAGTATCAGTTAACTTTTGAATAGAATTTGTCTGTCCTTAGTTAACCCCTTGCGCTGGAAAGGCGAGTCACGCGCGTCGAGGCGTTCTTGTTCTAAAATTGCCAACGACGTCTTGTACGCTTCAGTCTTGTTGCATTACACAGACTAGATTACATTCCACTCTGTAGAAAATGATTAATAAACAACGATGGTCTACAACATTCTTCGCAGACTTTGCTAAATTCTCTGAATTCATTTCCAGCGCAAGAGGTTAATTAACCCTAATCGGGCCACGATGTGACTTTGAGTCACAATTGAACTTTCTTAGATTTTTTCATTATTTCATATTGCATTTCCAAAAGTTCTTTTGGGCTTTCAAGATTTATAAGCGAAAATAATAACATTTTAATTATTCCTTTCATTCTCATAATTAACTGAGAGGCACATTGTGCTATAATTCGTTAGAACACGTGGTGCAATTAGGGTTAATGATACAGCTACGGAGGAAACATTTTGCCACTGATATTCGGAAATATTCAAAAATATTCGAAAATATTCTAGAAAGAGCGTTTATCGTTTTCACGCGTGGAGGGCTCGAAAGATACATGAATGCCTGTGTTCGACAGATGACGAGATTCTACAGATTCAGGGTGAACAATCCGCAGTACTGCGCGGACTTGGTGCCGAGCACGGAGAAAAAGGCGTTGCTCTCAGAGATGGTGATCCCATTGCCGGAGCGCACGACGCAGGGTCGCAGGGTGCTTCTGGTCCACTTGGGGAAGAGATGGAACCCGAAAGTGATCACCATAAACGACACGTTCAGGGCGGTCGCGCTGTCGTTGGAGGCCGCCATGGCGGAACCGAAAACGCAGGTTCGTCGACGATAAATTATTTCCCGAATTTATTCTGAATTGACTTCTCGACTTTTCCAATAACGATTATAAAATTAACTACAGGAAATGCCCAAAATTCAATTGAGGACGAATTATTAAGCTGAGAAAATAATTTTAAGTTAAAACCTCAAAAGGTGTCTTTTGAACACGTTCCGTGCCACGGAAATTTCGGCCATATTTTTCTTACGAACCGTATTGATTCTTTAAATAAAATATTAAGTTATATTCAAGTTTTTCCTTAATTTTATATATTTTGATATCGTTTCTTGATGTTTTCGGTGCTTTGTAACGTATACAGTGATTCTTGACCGTGTGTCCCTTAAAAATATTTTGTTACAAAAATGTGGCACTGAACGTGTTAACTCCTTGCCCTAACACCGTGTCAGACGATGAAGATTTTGCAACGGAATTCGACGAATCTAAATTCGTCGTTTAGTTCTTCTTTTAACACTAGGTTTACCGACAGTTTTATACTAGTCAATTTGACCTGTGAACCAAGTGAAAGTTGAAAGGCGAGATAATTGTACACAATGATCTGATAGATGAAACTATGTGATGTATGGATAAAAATTGGCACAAGTGACAGAAATGTAAACAGTTTCTGTCATTTCCTTTACGAAGTTCAAGCTGGGTCAAATGAAATAGAGATGAATTATTATTTATCTATAATTAATCGTTAGACTTCAGAGTAACTGTAGAAACGAGATGACAGTCTTCTCTTTGCAAGTACCGATGATTAAGTGGTTTCATCAATCACAGTCGTGAAAGGAATAGCAGGTCAAGGGGTTAGCTAAATTGTAACCGATCGATAGATCAATGTTGCAGTTGATTGCTTAGAAATGGAATTGGCATGGACAGCCATCTATGGATTCGACTGACAATTATAATCAGTTCAGAAGGAAAACGGATCTCAATCTGCATATTATTTCTGAAATGATTATTATTATTATTTCATATCATCATCATCATCATCATCATCATCATCACCGAGCAAAATGCAGAAAATGGAAAAAATGTAATGTTAAATCATTTTATTGAATTGGATTATTATTATCGCACGTTCATATAGAAATGTTTGCGAATAATCATCGTTTAATTGAGTGAACTATAGTAATTCGATTTGGTTGGGCATTCAACGTGTTAAAGAAACATTCATCCGTTACTCCACGATCAAAATCAACAGAAAGTTTCAGTAGAAGTCCGACAAGATCGAAATTCTCGGCGATAATAATTTATTTATAATTCTATGATATGAATATTAATGATTCCTTTGTTGCAGATCGCCGGTGTGCACGTGATAATCGACCTGAATGGTTTCTCAGTGTCTCACGCGACGCACATCACGCCGAGCTTCGCGATGGCGTTGACGGAATTTGTGCAAAAATGTTTGCCCTGCCGCCTGAAGGGCATCCACTTAGTGAACAATCCGTTTATATTCAACATGGTGTTCGCCCTGTTCAAGCCTTTCCTTTCAGTAAGTCTCCTGGACGTTCGTGTTCATCTACGAACCGTTAACCCTTTGCACTCGGAAGTTCTTCAGTAGAAATATTTGAACGTTTTCTGATGAGATAAAGACGACATTGTTTGCAACTAATTTAACGGCAATTCATAGATAAATTAAGAAACAAAGCTATTTTATTCAAATATTTCACGTTGCGATAAAGTTTCATTGGAAATACTAAATATTCAACTTCATAATTCTGCTGCATCGAATCAAGTGGTGAGAGTCACCTTTCGAGTGCAAAGGGTTAACACTAGAAGTAACGAGCATTTAACACTAAATGCCGCCATTTTTCCTATCGTGACTAGTCAGATAACTGACTACAAAATAGAGACAAACGAATTAGATAATAAATTCTTAGTGGAAACAGAAACAAAAGGAACGATGAAAATTGAAGAACTAGTTAACCATAATCGGATCACGATGTGAACTTTACTTTAATTTTTCGATCATTTCATATTGCATTTCCAAAAGTTTATTTTGTCTTCTAAAATTTGCGCCCTATAAACAAAAACAATACAGTCACATCGTGGTATCTAATCGGACAATATTCTTCTGTTACAATAAACAATCCAACGTAAATATCGTTCAGTAAATATCATTAGATCTCGGATTATGTTATTTTATTAAAAATTCTTATTGTACTGTTCCACATTTTCTCCTCTCGTCAAGTGTATCATTATAGGTTATTGTGAAAGTATTCAACTGAATGCATTAATTAACCGAGTCAGTGTAATTAACACATTGAGCGCCGGTCTCGTGAAAACGCGGAATTCTGAGTCTATCGCTTGAACGCCGACCCCGCAATAATGCGGATTTCTGGATTTCCATTTCTGGATTTGACGAATATGCAATTAAAATGTACTATTTTACGAAAATGTACGTTTTGAATATTTTTTGGCTACTCATTGATCAGATACAAGCGAATGAAGCCGTTTGCGCTAAGTGACTTTGACCCAAATTTGGGTGACACTATTTTTCACGTAAACTTGAATATGAATTTTCTTGCTAACACATCGAACGAACCGAACTTTGTTGGATGTATGAGATACAAGAAAGATAGTAGAGCAATCATTACGAAGAATCTTGACCTTTTAGTTTCTGCTTAAGGAAGAAAACTGTTTCGAGTGCATGGGAGTTTTGACGAGTGCTTACTTGGCAGTCAAAGTGTTAAGTGTCTCTTAACCGGCGCTCAATGTGTTAATTCTGTTATTACAGCGACACGTGGTGTTTATGGAAGATGTACAATGATTGTATTCGATCGTCTTGCAGGAGAAGATGCGCAAGAGAATCATTTTCCACGGCACGGACAAGAAGTCGCTGATGTCGCACGTGTCCGCGAACTGTATACCCACCGAATTCGGCGGAGACTTCGAAATTCCCAAGGTTCCGCTCGGCCAGGGGATTTACGAATACTTCTACTGGTTCGAGAAGGATTTCGAAAGTAAGACGCCATTTTGGCATCACCAGCTGACAATGGGAGCTGATACAATCATATTTCGTTCGTTTCAATCCTAATTCGATCTTTCATCAGTAACTTAACACTAAAACTACCAGAGGGGTCAAATGACCCATGCCTGATGTCTTCTTTTTGCAATTATTAGAAAGGTAATAAATGTTTCTCTGAGAAATTATTAAAGAAATTCATTTAGCACTACGCAAACTGAATTGTAAATCAATTAAAGTCTGAACAGGTGCACTCTTGGAGTTTCTATAGCGAAATTTTCAAAAGTCAATTGAAGTGCTCGGTAGTTTTAGCGTTAACGTTGTCTTAATACATTGAACTTCATAAATTCAGATCTATTATTTTATTCGACATTCTAACATTTAATTGGTGGATCTATAATAATTTCTCCTAAGTGAAAATAAGAAAGAAAGGATCATAAAAATATTTAGCACGAATGTAGCGTCGAGAAGATATTTGAAAATAATTGAGGGACTGATAATCTAACGTTAATTCTTAATATTGATCATTCATGATAATTAATATTAGTAACGAGATTTTAGTAACATTGTTCACTAGTAATACTTAATAATATTAATATCATATGTAACATGACTGTTCAAGTGAACCAACATTTCATAAAGCCTCTTCCCTCTACTACTCAGAAATAGAAATTGGGTCATTGTTGTTTTGAGTCATTCAATTAAAACGAGCCATTTCAACCTCGTGTCTACGAGGTCATAAAAATTCGAGACAACAACTCGTGCCCCTTAAGCCCGCCTCATGTGTTTCGCTTATCATAATTATACCCGAGCGTCGCAGGAGCGGCCATCATTATTTCATTACGCAATCGAGTGTAATTTATCCTGGTGGTCGGACGAAACGCGTTATTTCTCACCGGAAATCGCGAAGCTTCTTTATTAAAGCGTCGAAATTCGAAGTTCTCCTCTTCATTGCCTTGCAAATGACAGAGTCCATTGTCGCGGACACTGCGGCGGTGACTTTGTACATTGTAGTCGATTCATTAGCGACCGCAGTCTGTATACACTTTTAGCTTTTTGCTTGGAGAGGAAAATTTACATTGTGTCCACGAAAAACTTTACAGCGAATTCTTTGTATAGCTGCATGGTGTTAAACGTTTTTAGATAACAGATTAACATTGTAAATATTTTCGAAGAGAAGATAATGTGTTTCGTTTTTCCAGTATGAATTTATAAGCACTATACGAGAAGGTTATAAGCGAAATGCAAAAATGTTAAGTAATAAGGGAATTCAGTTTCCGTTTAATGGAACGATATGCTTTTAACATTTTACGGTGAAATTTTGAGACACTGTATATTTCTGGAAACGTTTAATGAATATTGAAGGATCAAAGTTAATGATTTTTCACCTCTTCATCTTTTCATCTCCTCCGCTTTTCATCTCCTCAACTTTTCATCTCCTCCACTTTTCATCTCCTCAACTTTTCATCTCTTCATCTCTTCATCTCTTTATCTCCTCAACTTTTCATCTTCTCAACTTTTCATCTCCCCAACTTTTCATCTCCTCAACTTTTCATCTCCTCAACTTTTCATCTCTTCATCTCTTCATCTCTTTATCTCCTCAACTTTTCATCTTCTCAACTTTTCATCTCCCCAACTTTTCATCTCCTCAACTTTTCATCTCTCCATCTCTTCACCTCTTCACCTCTTCATCTCTTCATCTCTTCATCTCTTCATCTCTTCATCTCTCCATCTCTCCATCTTTCCATCTCTCCATCTCTTCATTCTACTAAAACGGCGATCACTAATTTGCTTTCAGTTGCCAACAAGTACGGATACAGCGCGCAGGCGAAAAGTTAAGGACTCAGGGGATGTTCGTCGGCTTAATCGACACTGTCGGCGAACGTAAGGCTACCCGGATCACGTGATCCGGGGTTGTATTCTCAATGAGAAGGGAAACGGGAAGCGAGTCTACCAGACAAGTTGCAGCGTTCATTTTGCCCGGTAGAATTAAGAAGACAGTATATCAATACTTTAATTCAACTTAAGATTACTTTCTTGTATAAAACAGAAAATAACGATTCTCCTACTGACGTAATAATCGAAGAGTTTAATACGTGCGACAGTGAAAACCGAGTTACTTACCAATTTTTAATTACGTTAAAGCGTTCGCCTGTAATTTTGCTTTTGTACATTGACAGTTGTTTCACGTGTTACAATTTTCACGCGCCAGAGAACACCGAACAGAACTCTCAAATAAACTGTAAAATCCGCCTAGCAGTCAACGCGTTGACAACCGAATTTTTACCGAAGTTCAAATCTTCACGAAATTCGGGAACAGACAGGAAAGAAGACCGAATTAACCCACTATCGGCCGAATTTTTGTTCATGACTATAACAAAATCTATGCAGTACAAAGTTAATAAATATCCACATATGAATACGAATTAACAATGTATTCAATACTTTCAATAATTGCATCAAACGAATACATTTTGTAACTTTCAAGTTACAATGACGTTAAACTTTCACGTCTGAGTGTATGAAAATTTAAGTTAACTGATTACTTAATTTTATTCACTTTGAGTGCAGAATTAAATGAATCAACAAGATGCCAATGTACTGATATGTGACTTCAAAGTTACATGGGCCTACAGAGGGTTAAAACGATCAAGAACAATTGAAATGCTTTCGAAATAGTTCTCAAATTTCTTGACAAACCCTTTCTTAACAGACTCACAACGAAACGAAAATATTTAAATAAGTATACAATTCTGTTCGAACATAATCTCTAGGTAACACGTAGAATAAAAAGTTTCCACAGGGAACATAGGAACATTGTTTTACTCGGCGCAGCGGTTAAATAAACAAATCCGATTTATAAACATGCTAGACGACTTTATTCTCGAACAACCGACATTTACAGGTGGTTCTTACAGCCAGCAAGAATCAACTAAAAAAATAATTTACCATGATGCGCCACTAGCAAACGTACAAATTGCTACGTAGCTTCCTCGTTGTACGCGTCACTCTAATTAAGTACACGTTTCGCGTGCGATTCGCTCGACGACCGCTCGATTCGTTCCACGAGGAACGAAGAAACGTTCGTCGGAGTTCCGTCAACGTGCCTCAACTCTTCCGCGGATTCTTTCCTACGATTGATTAATCCTTCCGATCCTAAAGGTAAATGCAAGGCTAATTTCGCGATGGATGTTTCTCGTTCAAGCGCGATTCGCAAGCGTGAACAGCTATCGACGTGGCTCGATACGCGACCAATTGATTTATTGGAAATTCTATGTCTAAACATACATCTACGGTTCGCGTTGATAATACGAAGCGAAGTGCAGTGGCCAAGCAAACCTGTTGCTTCCTTTGCATTCTGCTTTATACGAAATGTAAAAAAAAGGAAAAATTCGCATTGAATTATTACAAGGAGACGGTGACGAAGGAACGTGTGGAGGGGGCAACGAGGTACGGGGCACCATACGTCTCTGAAGCTGGCCGACTACCATAGGTGCAGGTACTTACACTAGCAAGCAATTTGCAATATTGCTTTCATTTTATTTTATTTGATTTTATTTGATTTCATTCTACCATATTTTATTAACATCACAAGCGAATTGCTTCTCTGCCAGCAATAGGTATTTACATACGTCACAGGAATCGCTATCAGGAAGAAGATTAGAGATTAGGGACAGTCTAACGGTGGAAATTTTGTATTGTTTCATTTCATTTGATTTTCTTCTCTTTCGTTTGGTTAGAGATTAGAAGCAGTGTAACAGGGTAGGAATTTTGTTTTGTTTCATTTCATTCGATTTTATTTTCTTTCATTTTATTCCATTCTATCTATTTTTTCGTAGAGATTCGATTAGAGATTGGAAACAGTCTAACAGAGAAATGAAAGAACAGAAACGAACGTACATATTGATGCAGTTTCTTTTCGATTATAGATCGCGAATACCTCGGTAAAATCCCTGATCGTTGCTTATCCTTATCCAAAGATCGATCAGGTAATACCAGCGATTTCTAATACAAGCTTAGGTATCATGGACGAAAGATATGTTCACTAATATATAACTCTATATAAAAAACTGAGTAAAACGTACAGAATAATATTAATCGAGGGCGATTCCCCTCGCGTCTTAGTTTTAGTTCGCTGGTAGTCGGCCATCTTCCTAGAGGCGAACGCGAATGAATTTTCTTTCGTAAACAAACGGACGAGTCTGGTTTTTTACGACGCGAGCAGTCACAGCCGTCGTTCCTCGATAATCGCCCCGCAGACTCGGGAGTCGAGTCTGAACACTCTTCGCAGGCAATTGTTCCTCCTTCACCCCTTCTCGTCAGAACGTCGCGTTCTATGTGTACGCAAGCCTACTTCGACAGCACGTAACCGTAACTGTTGATCGCTGGAAAAGAAAAGGGATAATATAGAGTTCCTCGGAGAAATCTGGATTTCTTAATCGTTAAGTCAAAAGTCGATTGATATTTTCTGATTTTTGTGTATCTTTATGGAGTGGATAATATTCTTTTTGGTTGTTAAAGGATTTACTTGTCTCTTCATTGTATCTAGGTCAGAAAAGCCTTCTTTTTATAGCTTATGAATATGTTGGATAATAATTTCAGAAGCTGGAACATGAATTTTATCAATTTTTGAAGTAATTCTGTTTAGTCATTTGATATTTGATTCTTCTAATTTCTATTGAATTTCTTAACCATCGATCCTCCTAATTTCTTCTTTCATTTCCTAACACCTAGTTTCCCTAATTTTAAGAAATCTGTTAATGTTTAATCTATATAATTTCTTCTTAACTCTTGAATGCCCGATTCTTCAGTTAATTTCCTTAATTTTCTTCCAATTTCAATTTCTCTTCGTTCATTCCCGACTAAAGAGACGTTAAATACAAAATGATTTTCACTTACCATCGTATTCCTGGTCGCACATGACCAACAATTCTAACCACTGTGGCCCGGTTATTCGTGGTACTTTCAATGTGCCACCGTAACATTCCGGCAGGCACTTCGGCGTCACGTATTGGTGCAAGGATTTGCGGTCCGTGCCGTGGAAAATGATCTGGAAAAAGCGACGTTACATTCCATCGTAATTCCTTAATGGTGGACGCTTGCTTTCAACGCCTCCTTCGAATCAAATGTAAAATTCTACCAAGAACCTAAGTAAACTCAAATTATATCCAAATAATTTTCCATTCTACTTGAGGTGGAAATTTCATTTGAAGATGATAATATACATAATATACAAGATAAAAATATATTGATAATAGGAAAACAGTTGTTTCCCTTGATCCGTGGGTAATGAACAGCATTGATTTCTATTAAATTAGTTTAGAAATCTTCATCACGAGTCTCACTCGTCATTACGGCAAGGGGTTAATGTGCACACTCATCTCTCTAAACTCATTCCCAGCGCAAGTGATTAAAAGGGTTCAGGCTCACCCTGTTCTTCAGCTTCTCCTTGAGGAACGGCTTGAACAACGCGAACACCATGTTGAAGACGTACGGCTGGTTGATGATGTGAATGTTCTTCACCCTGAGTGGCACTGCGTCCTGCAGCCACTCGAGCAGCTTCTTCGCGAAAGGAGGGCTGAACTGCCAGGTCTGTTGGAGGGTCAAACCGTCCATGTCGAAGATCACGACAGCGCCCGCGACCTGCGTGCTGGGCTCCAACATGGCCGCCTCCACGTAGAGGACGCAGCCCTTGAACACTTCGTCGAGGTTGCACTTGTTGTGCTTCCATTTCTTGCCCAGCTCGATGATCAGTATCCTTCGACCGTGCTGGTCCCGGGTCGGCAGCACTGTCAGGATATTGTGCTCGAAGATGTTCTTCTCGCGACTCGGCTTCAGGTCCTTGTAGACGTTCTCGTGCTTCTTCTTGAAGCTGTAGTAGTTCTTCACCAGGGTCAACGCGGACTCCGGGTAGTACTTGCACGGCCTGAGGAACCGGATCAGCCAGGCCTCGTTGTCCAGTGGCACCTTTAGGTCTCTCTCGGCTGCGAATGATTTTTGTTTGGTTAGTTTGATTCGAGTGGGTAGAGTGGAGTTTTCATCTTTGTAGGCAATTTGGAGTGGGTAAATGGAGTTTGAAGTTTTGCTTTGGAGTGTTGGTGTATTGAGGGAATTTCTGGGGAAGTGGGACTTTGTGGTGATTGGTTTGAGATTGTGGTGGGTGTGATGATTAGTTTTTGGGAGATTGGGGAGTTGTTTGTGATGGTGATAGTAGGTTGGTATGGTGATGTTAATGTTGTGTTGGAATGTTATAGCGATATTGAGATTTATTGCAATATTATAGAGGTATTAATGTTGTATTGGAATGCTATAGCGATATTAATATTACATTGGAATGCTATAGTGATGTTGACATCATGATATATTATTATATTGCAATATTATAGCGATATTAAAAATTATATTGGAATGCTGTAGCGATATTGATACTATATTGCAATATTATAGCAATATTAACATCATGATATATTATTATATTGCAATATTATAGCGATATTAATATTATATTGCAATATTATAGCAATATTACCATTACAATATACTATTACATATCAATATTAACATTACATTAACAACGAGCAATACTCAACAGTAAAAATCTCTCAAAATCAACTAACAATAACAAAAGCAGCAACCAAATCCCAAAAACAAGAAGACAAACTTCCACTTGCCACTTCGTTCCAACTATCACTATCACACAGCAGAAAATTTCCCAACTTCTCCACTATAAACCTTTACCTCTCAACAATTCCTTCAACTTTTCCGCGGCCTCCTTCTGTATTTCCGGTGTCTCGCGCAGCTCCCTCCTCGCGACGTCCTTCAACTCGTCGCTGGGATCCTGCATCTCGATCTCGAGCGTGAACTCGCCCAGTTTCAGGCTCGGCACTTTCTGGAAGTCAGTCAGCATTGTTCCTGCGAATCCGAGACAAACGAAATTACCGTCAACCTCTTTTCTCCGCGCGACGTAACGGAACGGCACAAAAAAAAAGGAAAACAAACGTGATTACAATTCGGAGAGAACAATGGAGACACTTACTTTGAACATTGCTGTCTACCTCTTTATACGATATTTCAAACATTTTCGACGTTCCGTCAATGAACGAACCAACACATGCTCGCTCGCAGCGAGACGAGTCACGGGGATTCACCGAGCCGAGCGGCGACCGGGTAAACAATGATGTTTGCAAACGCCGAGACGTCGGGAAACGAAATCACGGGGAAACAAAGACACGCGGGCTCTTGTGTAATCTAATGTCCCTAGCTGACGGACACTGCGAATTTCCGCGAGGAAGTCTGTTATAACATTTCAACCACCTAGAACCGCCGATGTTAACAATCTCACTGCTCCCCTGCCACACAGAAGCCTTCTTTCAACGACATTTCGTCGAGCAACATTGCACAGTATTTACTTTCCGAAGATTATCAATTTAGGATATAATTTGGACTTTCGGTGGACTCAGATTGTAATTCACGTTACGCTGAAACTACCGAGCAGTTAAATTCGGTTGAAGTTTCTCTATGGAAACTCTGTTTTAAGACTTCAATTGATTTACAATGTAGTTCAAGTACATCAATGTATTTTATTTCTCGGAGAAACGTCTGTTTCGACAATTGCAAAGAGGTCGGGAATCGTTTAACCCGTCCGGTAGCTTCAGCGTTAACCCTTTGCACTCGTGAGGTGACTCTGATTTGATACGGTAAAATTATAGAATCTGATATTTAACGTTAAACTTTGTACAGTGCCTCGATAGTGAAATATTAGAATAAAATAACTTTGTTCCTCAGTATACTGGCGATTTCTCTTCGAGTTAATCTCAAAGAATCGTCTTTGCCTCGTCAAAAAGTTTTATTTCTAGTAAGAAACTTTCGAGTGCAAAGGATTAATATATTCAAAAATGAATTTCTCGATGCTAGACACTTATGTTCAAATATGAATTACAGCTGTGAGTGTTAACGAAATACTGTATTTCGATGAGATTCGTTGATAGTGGATATTGGATTGGAATAATCAACGGTACCGACACGCAGGAACAAAAGAGTTCCCCTCGTCAAGGAGCGAACAATCACTAATTATCACTGTTCCACAACAAACTTCCCAACTCTGTCCGATTCTTAATTTTCCTGTCGGTCCGCGGAGTTCCTTAGAAACCCGGCGACTTCCGGTCACCGACGGGCCCGCCGATCCGCCCACACTGACACTAATGGCCGCGCGCCTCGCTCGCGAACTTTATAATCAGAACACTGGCTGAGTAATCCGCTTCGATCGCGCAACAACGAAACGCGGCGATATTGTTATGACTCGACTGCGGATTCTACGCGTCTACGGGAAATTCGAAAGCGCGAGGTTACGTAAAATCCGGGCGATCCGAAAGAATTCCGGTGCTTTCTACGATAAATTTCCCATTTACTTTCCGATTACTCGTTCTTTCCAGCTGTTTAATATTCATTCTATTGTTTCCTGCCTCTCTTGATCGCTCAGATTTGCATAATCCGCGGTTTCGTCATGCGGCCGCCATTCGGTCGGCGACGCGCCGGCTCGCCGCTGTCGAGCGTCGCGAAATATGCGTCCTCGAAATTTCGAACGATCCACCGTCGTCGCTTTCGTTGATCGTCGATTCGCGTCGGTTCAACCGATCGTGTTGTTCACGGTACTGACAATCCTCAGCGATTCCTGTACAGATGAACGTCCAAGAATAGAATAATCAGATTATTCGTTGTCTCGTTACGCACTGTTGAACGTGACGTCCACGCGGAACTCGATTTTCAACGGCAGATCACCAGGCAAATGTTATTCGAACTTCAACGATCGATTTCCTGGAGTGACTCAGAAGTGTAACTTAATTTTCCAACGTTTAAGGAGACGCTGGATGTCGCTCGGAATCTAATTATCGAATTTCCCCGGCGATTCCTTTGTGGAGACATTCTGCGGAGCCATTTTGTAATTTGCAATTCATCGCGGGTTAATTTAGTTCTACTTCCCGCTCGAACGTTTTCCGGGCCTCGAACCGCGATTCGGCTTCGAAAGAATTCTTCGAGAAACGAATCGGATGTCGTTGGAATCGTGAATTTTCTGGAGTAACTTGCCAGTGGAAATCGTCGAGCACACAACGGTGTATTAGACGTGGTTCATTTAATTATCAAACGTTAGTGATTTATTCCAGAAACCATCGATGGCCACTTTGGGAATTGTAATTTATAGGTTAATTTAGTTTCATTCTACTTTCCATTCGAACGTTTTCCGAACTTCGAAAGAATTCTTCGAGAAATGAATCGGATATCATTGAAACTGCAATCATGAATTTCTGGAGTAACTTGCCAGAAATCCTCGAGCACACAACGATATGTTAGACGTGATTGATTTAATTATCAAACGTTAGGATTTATTCCAGAAACCATCGATAGCCACTGCGAATTGTAATTCATTTCGAATTTCGTTCCATTTTCTCGCCGGTCTCAACGTTCCTCGGTTGAAAAATCTCGCGCAACCGTTTCCCGGTGGAACTTTTAACGCTTGTCATTCGATTTCGTCGATGGAAACCGGGCGCCGAAAAGCTGAGCGACGCGAGAGCTTCGGAGCGTTCCAGTTTCGCCGGTCGAGCGAGAAACGCGACGGCCACTCGCGAAATCGAAAGCGTACCGCGTTATCTGGTGGCAATGTACTATCAGCTTGTGGGCCGCGCGCGGTTTTATAAGCGGCGACTCCCGTCCTTCCGCTGCCGCGATGCCGACCGCCAATTAAAACGTAAGGAAATTATCGGGCCAACGAGAAAAAAGGATAATCATTGTTTGCATACGGTTCGACGTCTGCCCGATCGGTTTATTCGGAATCGGTCTCCCGTTTGCGACGGGGTGATGATCCGTTGCGTAATGACAGTCAGCATGGCCTCTTTGGACCCGAGATGCACAGCTTGACAGTGACGTTCGAGGTGTATTGAAAAATCTTGTTTATTATTCGCGAAGTTGCATTCGAGGGAGAATCATCAGATTTTCTGCTGATGCCGGAAGTACGAGAGATAACTCCAGTCTTCGTCGTAGACGAGGGAAAGCGGAGCATTGTTTTTGAAGAAGAATATACAGCCGACCCTCGATTTAGGCGAGAATCAAGTGAACAGAGCCTGTCGGTGCGAGAGAAAAGTTGATTTGAACGTATCGATGCAGAACTCGATGCGGTATTTTCCCTGATGCAGTTTCGGGAATGTCGACGAATTTGACACCTCGATGTCGTTTGTGACTTGATACACGTTCATTTACAAATTTAATAATGTCTGCTGTTATATTCAATCTTGTTTAACAACGAAAGCAGTTAATTCACCTGCTTCTTCATGCAATGTGCCAATTTACCGCGTGAAAAAGAGGCTCGCGCGAGGAAAGTCCGCGTAAATCGAGGGTCAGGTGTATCAGCCTCCGTTGGAATCTGGTTGAATCTGATAATATCGCATTCGAAGGTTAGAATCGCGTTGGCGCCGGTGTTCGAATGCAGGAAATAAAATGGCGTCGCTTAGCCTCCTATCCGAGAGATCCGACGTTCTATAAGAAAATCTTCCGTTAGCTTTAACACCGACAGTTAAGCGTTCTGTGAAACACTCGAATTCTAGTGTTAACCCTTTGAACTCTGTAGGCTCCAATATTGCAGCAGTTCTAATATTAAATATTTTAATGAATTTTAAGAAAACTACCTTAACCCTCTATAGGCTCGTGTGACTTTACACACGTCAATATACCCTGATTATATTATAAATTGACTTATTTAATTTTTCATTGCAAAACGACGAACGACATTAAATGATTAATCAGCTTAAACTTTTGTACACACAGGCGTTTACGTTCAACGTCGTAACTTCGAAGTTACAAAATATATTCGTTTCAATAAAATTATTGAAACTACTGAATACATCATTTGTGTTTATATGTTGATATTCATTAATTTCATACTGCATAAAATTTATTAGAATCACGAAACAAAATTCGGCCCATAGAGGGTTAAGATTCTTAGATCTTCCAAATATACAAAGTTTGTACTGAGAAGGGAATTAAAGGTCTAATAAATGTTATAACATTGTTAATTCTCAGGACTATCAAAATTGGTAGAAGTTTCTATCATATGAAAAACCTATGTGGAGTGCTAACGGATTAATAGAAACAACCTCACAAAATCCATTCGCTGCACAACAGAACAAAATTCCATTCACAATGTCTACAACTGTGGAGCGCAAATATAAAATTGATCTCGTCGCAAACTTTCGTTCCCCTAACAACAAACTACCAGCTCGATTCGCGTCCGAATTCCGATGACGTAAAAATATCCGCTCGGAATGGCTCTCCACTGAATTTCTCCACCAGAGTCACCGGCGATTTTTTCAAATATTTTCCGCAGCGAGAGGCGCAACGCTCGAAATCCAGGAAGAACGCACTGTTCCGCGCTGGACAGCGAATCCAGCGATTAATCCGGTTCCTTCGGCTCGACGGGACGATTCGAGGATCGGACGGTCACTGTGCTCGCGAAAACGTCAGTGAATTCGCACGCGAAAACCCGACGTTCACCGTAATGGCGGCTCGCCGCGAAATCGGCCGTTCCTCCTTTTCCTCTGTCAGCCCGCGATTAGCCTGGCAATTACGTTTTTCAATGGCTCGGCTGCAGCTGGAGCGTGGAACGCGACTGTTGCGAAGAAAGCCAAGCGATCGCGATGCTCGCACGGCTTTTCCTTCGGTGTTCCTCTCTTTTTCTCGCCGTTTTCCGTCGAATTTATGCTGCCCGCCTCGGGGAAAAAGTGGCTCGGACCTCTTCCGCGACTCGCCGATTTGTTACTCTTCGAGGGAGATTTCTTGTACCGATATTTTAGTCTCATATCGACTCGATTTTACTTTCTCGTTGGTTACCGAGATGGAGATCGAGGCTGATTTTGAGAATTTTGTCGTGGATTTCGATTCCATTTTTCATGGAATTTACATGTGGAATGGGTTTAACACTAGAACTACCGAGCATTTGATACGATTAATATGCAATTCCTATGAAAATTGTAACAGTAGATTATTTTTAGTTTCTTCAGGCATTCTTTGTAGTACTGCAATGAAACTATTTATTTTCAAAATCATTTCGAATATTCGATGCTTCGAAGATATCAATAATTGCTGAACAAAAAAATCGAAACCAATCATTTTGACTGGTACGGTAGTTCTAGTGTTAAGCTAGCATTGGCAGAACCTAAGCTAGTATTTAAGACAGATCTAAGATCCTTTTTAATAATCTGAGATTCAAATGTAATTTAATTAAGATTATTTTAACCCTTAGCACTCCGCATAGTTTTGTGATATGTCAACTCCTACCAATTTTGATAGTGGTCCTACTGAAAATTAACAATATTATAACATTTCTTAAACCTTTAATTCCCTTTTCACTAGAAACTTTGTATATTTAGATCTAAGAACCTTAAGGTAATTTTCTTAAAATTCATAAAAATATTTAATATTAGAACTGGAGCAATATTGGAGCCTACGGAGTTCAAAGGGTCAATATAAGATAGATTTATGTATAACACAAGATTCTTTTCGACTATAATTTTCACCTATTATTTTCCCAACGAACAGGCCGGCGTGGCGGTTGAAAATAAAGTAACTGATAAATGTTGTTTGATCGGCAAAGTAGCGCGAGATGTTCGAGAGCATGGCCAAATATTGACGAGCTCGTCGAGGTTCCGAACTGTCTTGAGAATTTTAGATAGCGCACTAAAAATAGTGGTTTAGTTAACGGCAGCGCGCACAGTGCATACCGAAGTGAAATTTAATAACTTTCCCTGTTTCATTATTAGAGCGTAATAAGAACTGTCTGTAAAAATAATTCTTATGCGGCGTATGGTACCGTCGGCGAGGCATTGTTTGGATTCATAATGAAAGTAGCGGGTATACGGTACGCCAGCAAGTGAACTGCCATCTCTTTAACGAAGAGGTAATCAAAACGGCGTGCAGGATTAGAGGACAATTCTGTGTGCGCTCCGAAGCAAACGTACCTCCCTTTTCTCTCGAATAAATATAACGAACTCGAGGACAGCGGAACGCGAGGGCAACGGTTAAAATGATTAAGGGAAACAATTGGAAAAATCAAGGTTCGGGAATTCGAACGATTTCTGCGGAAAATTTCGTAAAATGCTCAACGGAAAATTGATTTACCTTATAAGGTTTATAAGAAGTACAATTAAAATCGTTGGAGAAAATAGTTAAAGCCTAGCCTAGAAATTCAAACGGTTTCGATAAAAAACTTTATGAAACACTCATGGAGAATTGGACGATTAAACTTGGAACATTGATTGATCACTGATTAGAAGAAATGAAATTAAAATCGTTGAAGAAAATAGTTAAAAAATCAACGCCTAGAAATTCAAACGATTCCGATAGAAAACTTTATGAACCATGGAAAATTTTGAACGATTAAACTTGGAAAATGGATTGATCACTGATTAGAAGAAATGAAATTAGAATAGTTAAAGAAAAGAATTCGAAGAATCAGCATCTAGTTCAAACAGTTATAACGGAAAATTTCACAAAACACGTAGAACTCTAAACAACAAAACTTTCATTTCTTCACCTCGCCCTGACGTTTCCAAAAAAATAAAACCGAACAACAAACACACATTTCAAACGTACTGTCTCACAAATCGAATGCCTCAAAATACAATTCTATATTCCCCTACAACTTTTCAATATATAAAGCAACAACATATAATCCCATGCCTAGTGTCATGTTCAGAAGCCGGTATCTAACGGTATCTAATGGTATCGAATGGTATCTAAGCCGCGCATCGAAAATTCAGGCGCAACGTTATATACGTACTCACCGAATAATCAATAAATGAATTTTCGCGTGCACCGCAGGACATTCCTGCGCTAACGTTATCGTCCTGCCGCCGAGGAAACGTTCGCCGTATAGAAAACGCCGGCAGAACGCTCCGGCCGTTGCGATTGAAAAGCTCGTCGCGTCCCTAATAGGCGGGAAAAAAGAACGCTGTCCGACGCATTTTTCATTCGCGTCACGCGATCGCGATAACGTAAGTAACTGGTGGAGCACAGCCGTTGAATCATACGCGCCAGTTACGTGTTTTAATCGGAAACGCATTGTTCGCCGATAGAAGGCTCGTGGCTTCGCCAATAATCGACTGCTCTCTGCGGCCGGCCGCGTGTTATGGAACACATTCGGACGTTTCCACGTTGAAATTTACCGGGGAGTCCGCGATATTGAACGCAACCCCTCGTCTGGAACGCTCATTTTTCGACCCTGCCTTCGACACGCTCCGCCGGAGCCTCGATGAATTATATCGAACGGAAATATAACGAAAAAGTTGCGTTTGTCGTTGGATAAGGTGATTCGAGTGTTGCTCTGGTTTTTCAATATTTATTATGAATTTTCTGTTTGTCTCAGTTTCTTGTTCCTATTCTCTTTCTATTTGTCGAATTTCTTGTTTTATTATATTCTTTCCTTCTCTGTACTATCTTCTATTTTGTTTCTCTACTCACTTTCCATTTTTCCTGTCTGTGTTCCATTTACCACGCTTTCCATTTTGTTCTCCTTTTCTGTTTCCTCTATTCATTCATTTCTTCCATTCTCTACTTATCTTCCGTAATAATATTCCTATAACCTAATCGCAAAATGAAGAAAATATTCTCTAAGAAACTCCAAGAAGCT